TGATAACGTGAGTCTTGGGCTTGAAGACATTATCAAACAGCTAATAACGTCTTGGTAATGTTAGATAAACCTTGGTCCTGATGCCAGTTCCGAAAAGCTGAGGCTTAGTTTGCAAAATATCGATGCATAGAGACACCTGGCTTCTCCCTTGACACATCTCATTTTGCCATATCGTTATGCTAATGATATGGAAAGCCCCACCCTGCAAGTTGAAGGGATTGGTTCCTTAGGTTTGTGATGTAACAAACTCTGGAAGTCAGAATCAGCATTCTGGAACTGTCATGTCTCGAGAATACTTATTCCCCCTTGGAACACTGCAGTTCCTGGGGAGAAAATGCTCAGCCATGGAGTTGACTGCTTATTTTGTTCACAATGTGTCTTGTAGCGTCTACAAAAAACACCATATGGACATGTTAACAATGTTAAAAGCTTGATTTCTGATTGGAGAGAGTCTTTAAATGTTGCAAAAGAAAAAAGCTGTGTTTAAATGTGTGTCTAAAGTTGTAAATACAGTTGAATTCTAGCCATTGCATATAAAAGTATCAATGTCACTTTAATGCTCTCGCAAAACAAAAAAAAACATGTCCCTCATCATGAACATTTCAAACTTGATTTACTGCCGACTCAAACAACAGATAGAATATGAAATCTGACCTCCGAGGTTTGGATCTTTTGACACCTGTTTTTCACTATGGGAATCATAGCAGTAATTGCTTTTGAGGGGTCCCTGATCCATTTACACTGCACTCTGCTTTCCAAAGCCGGAAACATGATTTGTATTTGACACATGTCCTCTTTTCATCTTCCTTTATGTCTGAGCAGTCTTTGTGATGATGTTTATTTGGGGTAGGCGTTGCTTTTGAGTCTAAGACCCTTGGGGATGGAGGTTTTGATCTAAGAGACAGCATTATTTTTTTATTCGTGATTTGTTACTTTTATGTTTGATCTACCCACTTTCAGAAATACATTTTTACAACTACAATGCGCGCATCATTGAAAGATTTAGGAAACAAAGATTAAATCAATAAAATGAACTTCCAAAAAAACATTTTACTTTAAAAGGATTATATATAAAAAACAATCTATTCTTCCTGTGGAGTTATGGCACCCTTTTTTCTTGCAGTGTGTACACGAACCCTTTGTAATTATACCAAACACAGAACCACACAAACACACAAGAACCAGACATTATAAACACTTGATTTGCAATCCAATATCCTCTCTGTTTTTCTCCACTTTGGATCTTAAATATGGAGGTGTGCATTCCAATTATCCTTCGTTGAAACATGAATGCCAAAGAGTGAAAACAACATCCTACAAAAGAAGGAGAAGAATTTGTCTCTTAGCTACAGGGGATTCATTTAGACGATGTCTGAGGGAAGAATTGGAGAGCAGAGGACGGGAAAGGACCGATCAAACGTTCCTGCTGTCTTGTGGTGGGTGTATAGTGGCCAAGTCATTGGCATCCACGCAAGAATTAGACTCTGAAATTTAGCAAACATCTCTTTTTCTCATTTGTTAGTGTCCAAGCCTTTTCTGTGCATTTATCAAAGCAGCTACCGACATCATTTCTATCCTCTGTTTTCTCCTGTTCTTCTATATTTATTCCTGCCTTAGTCTCTTTGGGTGATGTTAAAATCAATGCCAAGTCCACGCTTGTGTCCTTGTGTAAAACATTTCTTTCCGAGTTGTCTTGGAAAGAGCAAACTTATCCAGAATGTGAGCACAGAGATCAAGACTTTGCAGTTTGAAATGTATGATTGATGTTGCACAGGTCAGATGGAGGCCTCTGTTTTGATGTAAATGGTAATTCTTTGTTCTTTTGTTCTGTTGTTTTGTGATTGTACTTTTATAAAGGACACGCAGATACATACTGAGAGAGAACCTTTATCCCCCTCTTTAATACTGGCTGATTTATCCTGGCGGAGCACAAGGACGATAGCCTCCTCAGGCTGTGAATCATTCTTGCCAGCTGACTCTAATCACCAGCTAATTAATAGTTGATGTGCCGGCTTACAAAAACACGACTGCTATTAACCTGTACATGCTATTGATTTAGCCTTGCTTTAGGTGCTTTGGCGGATTCTTCTGGGGAGAATGAACGTCGGGGTGAACAGAGGTTCTGATATCCTAGGAAATCAAAGTTAGGAGTGTTTACTGGTGTTCAAACCGGCCTCAAGTAGAAGAGGAACTGAGACCTGAGTACTGATGGGTGTAGTGTTACCCTGTGTTTGGCCACAGCACCATTTAAATTGGTGAAAATTCACACCAAAATGAATTAATTTGTGGGGGTGACAAAGGAGACCTGCGAATTTGTGCTGTTAACCAGTAGTAAACCATCTTGACCTTTGAGGGAACAAACAGTCCAAAATAGTTGAAGCATCCCAGATTCTTAACTGTGTGGCACCATCCAGTTTTATTTTCATACAAGGAGAAATGGTCTCTTGAATAAACTGCTTAAATTTGTAATCTCATTAGCCATCAAGCTAACAAGCTTGTGAACTGACAGGCATCAAGCAGCTAGCAAGGTCTTTAGCTCGAAGAACCTTTGCCCTACTCCTGCACCTAATGATCATTTTTTATAGTATCAAGAAGTCTGCTTGAGTATTCTCTCATTGAAATGTCAGAAAATAGCCTAGGTGTCCCAGAACAGTGGTTCGCAACTTGCCAAACACAAGTATGATGCTGCATATTAAACTGTGTGGACCTTGAACTAATGACTAAGGAGAAATTTGGACCCCGTGGCTGGACCAGTTGGGAACCACTGTTCTAGAAGACATCTTAAAATTAGTTGTTTTGTTCAACTAACAGTCCAAAACCCCCAAATTTTGATGTATTATCACATAAGTACAGTGGTCAAGACTTTTCAAATAAAATGCATATCCAAAAGGCTTTGCACATTCGAAAAGCACTTTAACAGAAAACTCAAATGCAGAAGCCACAATGGAAGTGGAACAGATGTTGACAGCGAGACTTGTCTGTTTCCGAAGTAAGTGAAACCTTTGTCAAATATGATTACTGTCGCTAGGTGATTGTCACATGAGCAATAATGTTCAATATCTTTAGATTTTTATATTTATGTACTCTGCTATCTAACGTTAGGCTGTCATAAAGCTAGCTATGCAGTAGCGTTAGCATGACGTCATTTAGCTAACGTAAGTCAATCAGATGAATGTAAACTAAGCTGTACTCTTGTACGGAGACATGGTGATAATAAGGCTTTATGGTAGGATGCTAAACACTTCTGATGTGTCATTCAACAGAAATTAAATGTTCACACTTTGAGTTTGCATTTGTGTTTTCTGTTAATGCGCTTGTGTTTTTTGAATTTGCAAAGCATTTTGGCTGCAGACGTTTTGGAGGCCCCTCACTCAGTTTACAATATGTCGAGGCAACAATACTATGGGCTGTCAATGGACAGCGCCACATAGTAAATGAAGTGACCTCCTATTCAGTAAACAAAATATGATACTCATCAATATAACACGATACTTTAACAATAAGTCATGACAACATGAGGTTATCGGCCAAGTAGAGCCACAAATACCTTGTCTCCTGTCAGCGCTTCACCTCCAGTTGTTGGCGTCACTCCTCCTTCTCTTCCCTTTACCTCAGCACATGGTCCTCCGTCCTCCTCTACAGCAGCAGAGGCGACGCTTGCCGGCTTATGGTCTTCTCCCGCTGCCTGTTGCATTTCTCTTCTCTCTTCCTCAGCACATGGCTAGCTCACGATGCTATGGCTACTCGATTTGTGATTTGATGAATTGCGAAACATGGATCATTTTGTGTTGCACTGCAGTGCGCTGATCATAGCCATGCACAGGAAATGGCCCAATACTGATCATGGTTGCTGTGCGAATATGTAATCTGATAATTTATAATATGAATGTATATTTAATTTTTTTAAGCACAGACTTCAACCCCGGTAAGGCTGTGCATCAGGGCGCCATAGCAGTTCGTTTGAGATGTCTTGGACTTCGTATACGAGACAATGAAAAGCAGTAAATTCTCCGGAATTTTCTGTATTTTTGCTTTAAAAATTATTTGGACAGTTAATTCATTATCAGACCACTGTAGGTCCTGATTACTTTTCTATAGATCTACTCATAAGTTGATTAATTGTTTGTCCTTTAACTTGCCCCAGACTCAAGTATTTGGGTCAAAATGGGCTAAAGTCACACATCATAACTGATCTGACCAAGTATGAAGAATCAAGTGACCCCACTCAGTCAGCTCTGACACCAATAATGAATGCTTTTACTGAAAACAATTCCATGCTGCCTTAATTTCACACACTGACGTACATTATAGAATTTAGTTTTAACGTTGAGGTCACGGTGTTTTGTACACAGCTGAGATTAAAATAAACACTGTTTGAAATGACTTAATAACACAATGGCACACCCCAAAATTTAGAAAACTGAGGTCTATAATTTAGTAGTTTTTGTGCAGCACTGGGTCTGTGTAATTGGTAGTCTGGCTGTATGCTTAACAGCTTTGTTTTAATTGCTAAATGGTTTTAAACGTTGTATCCTTATCTCACTTGTTTAACAGCAGTTTCCAAGGACTGTAATTTTCTGAGAGATACGTCTGCTGTTTAGCTTAAACAATCATTATATGAGATAAATCAGCACTTTAGCTTTTTGACAACCTAATCTACAGATTTTCATCATGAGCCTTTATTTGTTGCTGCCTTTTTTCCCTGCTGCCTTCATCTGCTCAGTTACATTAATAAATGAGATTTCATAGGAAGACACATTTGCGGTTAAAGTGCAAAAAAAAAGAGTCCAAATAAAACCATCTCCTTGACGACGCATGTTTTACAGCTCACCGAGAGGCCGCTGAATTAAGCGTGATGCAAACACGGCAAATTGAATCAATTTGCCTCCTCTAAGTAGATGTGATGCGTGAAGCCTGAATGCTCAAATGAATAAGAGAGAATTTCAGAGTTTAATGATGTTGTTTTTGTTTGTGCATTTCTTTCCCTCTGCTTGATGAAGGTTTCAGAAGATCAAGCGTAAAGAGGAAGAAAGATATCAGATAACAAGGCTGCGTGGAGGCACGGCACGTGGTATCGGCTGCTCCGTGCTGCAACCACCGGGAATGAAGTGACAGGCCGTGGTGGAGCACAGGAACAAAATCAAGAGGTGAGTGGAGCATATTAAACTGATAAGTGGTCATGCGGAAAATAGTGAGGGCCACACAGACACACAAAGATGACACAATCCGGATGTCTGTGCACATGTTAAGGCACATTTGCTTACATGTGACCGAGGACGGGTTTAGAAACTTTTGAAAGGAAGGCAGCCTGGGGCACAGTTTTAAAGAAGTGGGGCTTGTTTGTAAACAGAAATATTTTAATACAAAATAAAATCAATAGCTGCTATTGTGACTTCAAGTAACCTACAGCCATGGACAGATTATGAGAAAATGGGCACATGGACTAATACTTCTCTGTTTGTGGTCCTTTTACATCTCTTTGTGGTCATTTTTCAACCCTGAGTGGTTGTTATATATTTCTTTGTAACCGTGCGTGTCTCTCAATTTTGTACCCATTCCTAGATGCTTTGCATCTCTTTCTGGACGTTTTTGTCTCTCTGTGGTTGTTTCACATCTCTTCATAGTCATTGTGGGCCTTTTTGTGGTAGTTTTACATCCCTCCTTGGTAGCTTGAACTCCTTGCAGACATTTGGCACCTCCTCATAGTCTTTGCCTCTTCATAGTTGTTTTGCATCTCTTCGTGGCCAAACTGTGCTTCTTTATAGCCATTTTGAGGCTCTTCGCAGCCATTTTGCGCTTCCTCCTTTTTTTTTGCACCTCTTTATGGTCGTTTTGCACCTCCATGTGGTCATTTTGCGCCTCCTCTTAGTTGTTTTGAGCCTCTTCATAGTTGTTTTGCATCTTCTTGTGGTTGTTTTGCGTCTTTTTATAGTCATTTCGCATCTCTTTGTGGTTAACTTGTGCTTCTTCATAGCCATCTTGAGCCTCTTCATAGTCACTTTTCATCTCTTTGTTGTCGTTTTGCTCCCCTTTATAGTTGTTTTGCATCTTCTTCTTGTTGTTTTGTGTCTTTTTGTAGTCATTTTGCATGTTTTTATGGTTAACTTGCGCTTCTTCATAGTTGTTTTGCATCTTTCTATGTTTGTTTTGTATCTTTTTCAGTCGTTTTGCATCTCTTTGTGGTCAAATTGTGCTTCTTCATAGCAATTTTAGTTCTCTTTGCAGACATTTTGTGCTTTATAGTGATTTTGCACCTCCTTGTGGTCATTTTGCACCTCTTCATAGTTGTTTTGCATCTTTTTGTAGTTATTTTGCATCTCTTCATCAAATTTTGCTTCTTCATAACCATTTTGGGCCTCTGTGTAGATGTTTTGCGCCTCCTCATAGTTGTTTTGCATCTTTTTGTAGTTATTTTGCACCGTCTTGTGGTTATTTTGTGCCTCCTCATGGTGATTTTGTGTTTTCCCCATAATCGTTTTTCATCTCTTTGTTTTCATTTTGCGCCTCTTCATAGTCATTTTGCATCTGATCGCGGTTGCTTAGCATTGTTTTGTGGTCATTTGATTGACTTTTCAACAAGTCACTTCAAAGAAAGGTTCTGGTCCAGACCCTGGATCTGTACCTGTTAGGCCCGTTCAGTAATCCATCCATGGTACTAAAATGCATGGCATATACAAGTACACACACGAAGGAGGTCTAAGAATTTTTAAAGGACAATGTCTCACATGCATTATTGTGGCCGAACTGTGCGGACATTTCTCAGGGACAATCCTGTCATCACTGTTGACGTATTGATCAAGACTAGCCTTCCTTTTGTGCAGATGGTCTGAAACACTTAATGATGACTATGGAACACAAAGCTTCCAGCATTGTGCGGACACATTGACAGGCTATGATTAAATCAGCAACGGTGGCAGCATTGTAGACGACAATAATGGTAGCACTGAGGGCACTTATCAAAGGAAAGGATCAGCATAACTTACCACCACTGCACACATTCACAAATAGATATTCATGGATGCTGATGGGGGAAATTAATTTAGGCTAAAAACGAAGCATTTATCATCAAACTGAGTGGTCACCTAACACAGAATTCTTCACAGCTCATGAATAATTGTTTCCAAGCGTTATGTTTTGCCTGTCAGTCACAAGTGCTCTACGTTAGCTGTAATACATCTGAATTAAGCGCCTGGTGGCACTCTGTCACGTACACCCTGTCGTAAGCCGTTAAATACATAAATCGGGTTTAAATGAACACACACACCACTTGTCTTGGCTGGTTTGCAGGGTAATTCATCTTCTAACTCCATGATTCTGTTATGCAGTCAAATTGACAAGTAATCCATTGCTGGTGTCCTTGTTGTCAACATTAAGGTCATTTCTGATTGTTGCATTGAGTGAACAGACTTGCAGCTTTGCAACTCTTCGCAGGGGGTGATGGGAAATACGCCAGGACAATGTATCAATACATACTATATGAGCGATTTTGAGCTGTGGCATGACAACCAGCCAAGGATACAACATGGAAAAATGCAAAAAAAAGCCACCCCACATTGAGAAGCTGTACATGTCCTTGTATGTTTTGTAACAAAATAACTTAAAATCCCCTACAGTCACTTCCAATCCCAGCATCCTCCAAAGATGATAATCCTTGTTTTCTTGGCAAGTCGCACTGTATTTTTTGGCACCCAAAGTCTCTCTGTCACAGAGACCGAAAGGTACAGGCCCGTGCAACACCTGTCAGGGGACTGTGCAAGAAGTGTAGTACATGTTTTTGAATGAGTGTGCTCAGGCTTTAAATGGATTACAGCTCATTATCCCCAATTACTTTTCAGAATAAGCCGGGAAATAGAGTTGCTAAAACTGCTTTCAGGAAACCTTCACAGAGGTGTTTGATAGCTCTATGAAATGACTCATTCTTTTTTTCTTAATTAATACACTTGAGAGGTTGTTTTTTTTTAGGAAACTTCATATTTCGAGGTCAAGATAAATAATCTCGGTCGCTTTGTAAATAAACTCTCAATTGTATTTAATGGTAACCAGAAACTGATATTACTGCCTGCTGTTATTAATATACCTCTCCTTCCTTGGCCTACTAAAAGAGTCTCCTACATTGTTTTGTTCAGTGTTGGGACACACTTTTCTATTTGTCTATTCAGTTTTTCATCTTTAGTTGCTTTACAACAGATTTTTGTTTGTTTTGATAAAGTTTAGTGCAAATGAGGTGAATTTCAGTTGAACACCAACAAAGAATTTGCAGTCAGCTCTAATCCGCAAAACAGCCACAGAGCTGGGAGCAGATCTTGTTAGGTTAGACACAAACAAGTTGAGAGTACACAGGTAGAAAGGCAGTACTCTCAAATGCACCTGAGCTGTAACATCTTGCATTGTCTCAGATTGTTTCGGCTGAACCTAAAAATATTGCTTGCGCTCTGTGTGGCTGTCAAAAAGATCATATGCAATGACTGAGTGGTTTAGACGCCCAGCAGCTCCTACCAGTAGTGGATTTTATGCCTTGTCCATATTGCTAGAAAGATCATGGTTGCCAGCAAAAGCCTCTTGTTTTCAGATGTACTTGAAAAGACTGCCTGCAGACAGGTCATGAAACTCACAGCAGACCTGCACTAACATTGACCTGAATGAGCACAATAACACATGATGTCTTGTCCATCTTCTCCCTGGAAGCTGATTAGCTGCCTCATGGCACGCATTGAACATATGCAACACCTGTTTATTCCCAGTCAATAAAAGACTGTAGGGTTGTAAAGATTTGTTTTAGACACATGCTGCTGTTTGCCTCATGTTTCTGTCCAATCCTGTTGCTGTCTCTTGGTCTTTACTCAGTCTCAGTGCAGCTTTAACAATTTCCCTGTGCAGACAATGTTTACATAACAGTAACAAATGCTAAATGTATTGTTAGGTAATATCACAGTGATTGAGATCTTTTTGAATAATAATTGGGGAAATGCACTTATTAGTTAGACGGGTAGCTAGCCTGACTCTGTTCAGGGGTGGAAGAATATCTGCACATCTAAAGCTCATTCAGTATCATACATCTACATTTTGCTCACTTGTAAATCTTTGGACAGAGCCTGGTTAGCTATTTCCCCCTGCTGTAAATACTAAAGTAATTTGCTGCTGGCTGTATGCTAAATATGAAGCTAATTTACAGTCGGAGATGGTTAGCTTAGACTAGCATAAAGACTAAAGGAAGCAGGGAAACAGCTAACCGTTACTTGGCTCTGTCAAAAGATAGAAAAAGTTACATCCCACCACTTCTAGCGCTCACTATTAAACACTTTATGTCTTTCTCTTTTTATGTTTGGACAGAGCTAAGCTAGCTGTTGTATTTGCTATATATAAAGCTAATTTACTGTTGGAGATAGTAACCATAGACTAGCATAAATACTGGAAACAGAGGGATACGGCTAGCCTAGCTCTGTCCAAAGGTAAAAAGTTAGCCAACCACCATTTCTAGCACTCACTAATTATTATTATTTAATTTTATGTCTTTTGACAAAACTATGCTAGCTGTTTCTCCCTGCTTTTAATTTATATGCTAAAATAAGGTAATTTGCTGCTGTAAGCATGCTTAACATGAAACTAAATAAAAATCAAAGATGGTTTAGTTGGACTAGCTTAAAGACATTAGCTATGTTTCCATCCAAAAGTGATTCGAATCATTGGGAAATGCACATTAAAAGAAATACGAATTCTGTGTGTTTCCATTAAATGTGCAGACTTTGGTGAAAACTGCAAACTCGCGCAAATTTTCCGCAGAACCGGAAACAAAACCAGTCTTGCATTCTTCTTTTTCTACGTTTTCTGGCGGTTGGCAACCAGCTTGTAAATGCACTACCGCCTTCCCGACCTGGAGTGTGGTTATCACCATGGAGAGAGGTGCGCTACGTCAGACTTAATTCGAACATAACTGTTTCCATCCCGTTTTGCGAATCAGCATTTTTTCGAATCAACCAAAACCCGGCTAAAGCGAGTATTTTAGTTTGTGCGAATCAGGGGATTTTAATTCAAATTTTGGCGTTTCCATCATAATTTTCCAATGCAATACTTCTAGATGCGCATCTAAACAGGCTGATGGAAACATGGCTATTTGCTAGCATACCTTTCCAACGATAAAAACTTTAGT